CTCTCTGCCTTAGGAGTATCAGGATCTCCTGGAAGCACTCTGAACCAAGACACTTCTCAGTTTGAGAGGGATCCAAGGAGACACTTGGGCTGTTTTCAGGCATTGCCAAAGCTGGGACTTTAGGACTAGGGCTAGAGTGTGTCTATGATCTGCAGCTTAGGCCTCTTCACTAAAGACCTGAAAGTTTTGATTCTGCATTTAAACTAAGGCTCACAAGATAAACCAAATGCACCCCCAAACTGAAGCAGAGTAGAGTGCAGACTGTAGAGATAGAGTTTATGTAAAAAGAGAAAGCTGTGTGTTGGGATTGTTCTCCCTGCTAAAGAGACATTCATCCAGACTGTCATCCAGGCACCTGTGATTATGTTTAGCGGGGCTTGCTACTTAGCAACATGCTTATTTTACATTCAGCCTCAACCTACCAATGAACAGAGTAGACGGGAAATAGCTGCTTCCTGAAAGCAGCCAGTTCCCCTACAAGTTTGGTGCCTCCCAGGAAGTCACTGTTTCCATAGTCCTCAGTCATGAATAGAGCTTATTTTTGTGATTATGAAAGCATTAAAAAGCCTTCCATTTTCTGTATTTTCTTTTTTGTCTGCTTTCCTCCAGGGTTTCTAACCTAAGGCAATGATCCTACAACCTAATGGTTTCTTGTGAAAATTCCTTAGCTGGGGTTAAGTCAGTATTTCGTCTGTGGAGCACAGATGGGGCCTAAAGAAACTGTGGGAGAGGGGCAGCAGTCAGTCAGCCATGTGTTAAGACTCTTGCTTCAGTCCTGGGCCTTTTCTAGTACCCCTTCAATGAGGAGGAGACAGTTCTGAAAAAGAGCTTGTGTCCTGAGGGGCTTCATCTTTGCTTCTTCATCTTAGAGAGAATGGAGACTGGTTCTATGGTCCCAAAGCCACTCCAGGGACCCGGCCATGCACATCACTTAATGCTGTGACTCAGTGCTGAAACAGAAAAGCATCTTGAGCAACTGAGAGAACTCCTTGGGGTCTTTCCCTTGGGCTGATCATCTTGATACCCAGGGCTAGAAATGATGCTTTGGGTTGGTAACTTTCACATGTGCAGTTTTACAGGATGGCTGTGGCAGTTTAAAATGTACTGGAAATGTTAACTCCACAAGCAAAGTCCTTGGGAATATTTAAGTGTTCTCATGTCAAGGTTGACGCCCTTCTGGGGCATCCTGGGTCAACCACAGCAGAGGTTGCCTTTAAATGTTTGCCCCATGCTACCTATTTTCTGGGCACCTAAGAGGAGAGTCCCTTTTCCTTACGAAAACACCGAATGAAGGAGTTTGCCAGGGCCCCATTTGGGAAGTTATGTCCAGCCCCAGAAAGCCAGCGGCTGGGTCAGCTCAAGAGCCCTGTCCCCTCCCAGCAGACTGTGAGTCTGGAGCTGAGAGGCCCTTGGGTAACTTTGCTTTTTTTTTCCTGTCCAACTGGGGAGTCTATTGAAATTCTAGTGTCCCCTTTCTTTTGTTTGTTACCAACTCACATGGTTCTGTCTTTAGTGTCCTATTTTTCTTTCCTGTCTTTTTAAATTTTTTCCTTTTTTTCCCCCCCTGGGGGACAAAATTGGTCATTTAAATAAAGTTCTTTTCTAGTGAGTAAAGAGGTTTCTCTGAGCCAGAAATCACTCAAAAGAAAGTCTGCGGACTCTACCCATGGAAAAGGCTGGAGGTTTCCCTAAGTACCTCTTGCCAAACTTCCTAGCTTTGTGATTGGATGTTTTCTAGTTTGGTATTGTTGGGCACTGAATACATTTTGCAATTCTTTTGTTCTCTTCCCCAGAGCTTCCATTACCCTGGACTTCAACTCATTACTAAATTAAAGAATTCTCTTTAGAGGGTTTCTTTTAAGAGTCAAGTCACAGCAGAAAAGGCACCCACTCTCTCTTCTCTTCCTTCCCTAGGGCATCTCCTGTCTGCTCCTGGGCTACACCTTTTTGTTCCCTTTGCTGCAGCTACACACTGGTCACAGCAAAACCAGCCTGATGTGATCTTCTCTAGAACCATATAACCCCCTACGGATAGCCCTAACTAATCAAAAGAACTGCAACAGCAGGGGAAGGCTCAGAATGGGCACATCTGCTGGGCATCCTAGCCAGGTCAACCTCACTGTCAGTCACCAGGACGGTGTTGGGAGTATCTTGGAGGACTGCAACAAGAAACTACTGTATTTTCCTGGGGACATGAGGGGTTTTCTGAGGCACACACTTCCCGTTTAACTTCTACGCTGAAAGAAAACACTGCTTTGGGGCATAAAGCAGGATGCAGGCTGGTGTGTGAGATGGAAGCACATGTAGATCATGACAGGAAGACTGAAATGGAAACAAACATATCCAGAGGAAATCTCTTGCTCTTCAGTCTCAGACAGACAGACTCTCCCTTGGAGAGAGTTTTCTTGGTCCTTACATGATATTATGATATAAAACAAAGCCTCTCTGATTTATAAAGAAGGAAACGCAAGTCTTTCTAAGGCCAAGAGCTACTGTGACCTCCAAGATAGGGAAGGAAGGAATGATAGCATCTGGGGCATGAACCAGGATTGCTTAACCCCCTTATTCCTGGCAAACAGAACTGGGATGGGAGAGCCTGTAAAATGGTTGTGAGGAGGGTAAGCTTACAACAATAAAAATACTTTGATATAGATTTTCATTTCAGATTACTGAGAAGGGGGCTTGTTCCCAGCTGTTTGTTTTTGTTTTTTATTGTAGAGCTGAATCACATCTATTAATTCTAATAATTGTCTTTTTGGGAGGTATATTTTACCCAGTTAGGGGCTCTTTTTTGTACAAATGCTGGTACTTAATATAAGAAAGCTACCGGCCATGCTGAGATACCACCAATGTTTTTAGTGCTAGGGAATTTTATTTTTCATAATTTCTATATAAATGTGTTGAGATAACCATTCCTCAGACATTTTTGTGTTTTTATATTTAGCAAATTCCTTTCTAAAATCATAGATTGTTTTAAAAATTTATACTAGTGCTCTTTTGCACACTAGCTCCTGTTCCCTGAACTTCTCTCTAGAGGTCTTCTGTTTGGAACACCTGTTTTCATGGTGTGTGTGTGTGTGTGTGTGTGTGTGTGTGTGAGTGTGTGTGTGTGTGTGTGTGTGTGTGTGTGTGTTTTCCTGGATACTAAAAAGACCTTTTTGTTTCTCTTCTTTTCTTTTCTAGTTTTAAAAGCACTGACAGCATCCCATCATAATAATTGTAGGAGTGGAAACAAAAGAGAGAGAGACTCTTTCTCATCCTCTCTTATTTGTGATTGTGAAATAGTGACTGTCTGAGGGCAATCCAGGGACCACCTGTATCTTTTTGAAATAGGTGTGGACTAGTTTATCTTCTAAAATGTGGAAAAGGTAGAAAAGTGCCCTTCAGAGGCCACATATATAGCACTAACCCTATAGAAGATTCTTCGCTTCAGAGCTCTGATAACAATTGAGAGTCCTCCCAATTCTAGAGAACAATGTCACATATTTCAGGCTGTAAGATGTCTGGGAGAAAAAAAAAAAGTACAGTAGGAATGAGCCTATACAATAGGATCTTACCCAGAATTCTTTAGGGTCCTCCCCACGCTTTTTTAAATGAAATATTCCTTTGTAGGAAAAGAATGTGTATCAGGGTTTCATCTGAGCTCTTTCTCTTTTTACATGCTCTACAATAAACATTGGCTTTTTACCCCAGTTACTTAGCTGTTGACAATGGCAAATCAGCATTAAGGAAAATGGGACTCTTTCAGACTTAAGAAGCAGATGGGGAAGTGTGGCCCAATGGCACACAGTCAAGGTAAGTTTCACAGAAACAATGTAAATTTGGACCTCTTTACTAAAGTTTGAATAGAGACACCATTTTAAATGTACTCTTGAGACCAGTGAAAATAATTAAAACTAGGCTTTGACCTTCTTTCATTTGTTTTATATGATGAGTGATTTCATGTCTTTTTTCCTGTAGATTAAGAAAAATTGTCACTACGCCAGTCTTTTTTTCTGATGGGTTAAATGACTCCTTTTTTTTTTTTTTTTTTTTTTTTTAAATCTGAAATATCCAAATGATTCTGTGACACAGTTATTTAATCTGTTGGTGGTAAAGAAACATTAAGTCACTACTGACCCTTTCAACAACAAAACCAGCAGGGGGTGGGTGGGGGTGGTGAGGACTTCCACAGTTCTGAAGGTAATTTTAAAAACAGGTCACACAAGTTCTTGGTTGTCCTCTTAGAATTCACAATGAGTGATACTCAGTAGTCAGTTACCCATCCAAATCCACACTACAACTTCTAGCAAAACATCCACTGAATTAAGCACCGTAAGACCAACTCAAATGCCACAAATACTCCAGTTGTACAAACTACTAAACATCACAAAGAACTTATGGAAAAGATCCAAGTTAACCAATTGTCTAAAATATATGAATAAAACCAATTTAGTCATTATAGAGTTGCTTGCCTTGGAAGATCTTCCCTCATTTGCTGCATTTTTTTTGTAAATACAATGCTAATGGAAAAATTAGGAGGAAAATTAAATTGTAGAATAATTTAGAAACAAAAATATCCCCTCTTTTCTTCTTTTTAAAAATGTAGGTTGGTGTTTCACATTATCAGAATGTTTACTTTTCTTTTTAAGTGTGCTAAAACATGCCTAGTCATGAGATTTCTTTGCAAGTATTAGCTAGGTTTAAAAAGTCTTATTTTTGAGCTAGAATTCCTTCAGGAAACTGCATATAATTGGAAAATCTCATGATTTCTTGATCAAGACCAAAGAGAGAAATCCCAGCTAGGAAAAGTAGCATCTGAGATGATGATGATAGAGATTCATGGCCTTCTGAAAGCTGGGTGTTAGCGGTTAATAATCAACTAAAAACTGATCAACCTATTTAGCCCTCTTAGCCATGGTGGAAAGAGACAGAGGTGATGTCTGAAAAGAAGAAAAGAGTTTTGGCATCGACGCATTTGTTTTGTAACAGGCTTCTCATAGTGACACTCAAACGGGGGGGGGGGGGGAGAAGAGGCATGGTAGAGTTTTGTGGATTCCTGCTCCTGGCTGAAGATAAACGGAAGGACCCCCTTTGTCAGGATCTCTAACTACTAGTGTTTCATCAAAGAAAAAAGCAAGGTCAACAGAAATTCTAGAATCCTAAGAGCAGTAAAATTTTGGAGAAGTAAGAAATCGCCTTCTAAAAGATTTTCCCTCTCATGAAAAAGGACAGAATTTTAGATGGATGGGGGAAAAATATTCAGTGGAGCAACTTAAGCTTGCTAGAAGCCAAAGATCTATGTATCAAAACAGAGCAGCAGTTGAAATTACAGCAGGGGTGGGTGGGCCTTGGAGACCCTCAGCAACCCAGGCAATACTTAAAATAATAAAAATTAAGAAAAAAATATGAAGAAAATATCCTTCCTCTCTTTCAAATATAACTTTAGTTGCCTTTTATTCTTTCTATCTGGAAGCAGTATCGCTAACCTTAACAGTCTTGACTTACCAAAAAATATATATATGTGTGTGAGAGAGACAAAGTAAAGAGAAGGGATTGGTGGCAGTGTATGCAAAACCAAAATGAGAAAAAAATTACTTTTAACAATCTCACTTTTTTGTTTTTTTTTTTTACACAAATACTGTTGTAAATATATTAAAAAAATCAGCATTCTATCTGGTAAACATCACTTTTGCCCCTCTATAAAATTTTGAATTAAAAAAGCCTCAAGAACATTTACTGTCCCCCCCACCCTCCATTTCTCTTTCTTCTTCTCTTCCACAAGAATATATCCTGACACTTTTTTTTTTTTTTTGCAAAGATTGTTGGAAATAATCCTTCTCTTGTACCTAGAAACATAGGTTCAAATCTGTTATCTTTGTTTTCTCTGCATTCCTGCCTTTCATGAAAGTCCCTCTTGATTGTGCTGAGGCTGTGGCTCAGCGAAGACACTGAATAAATACGATAGCCACTGTTGCTTGTCCAAGTCTTCCTGGCTTCTGCTGAAATGGGGCGGGGGACGCGGAGGAGGTGGGCCAGGGTGTGGGGGCTGGGCAGAACTGGGGGAGAGGTCTGCCACACCACCTTCTCCTCACACCACTGGGCTCTCTCGGCCCCTCCCATCCTTGAGCCCTTTAATGAAATCAGACAGCGTGTAGGTGAAAACAGCAGGGCTTTCCTCTGGGTTTTCAACCAGAAGTGATATTCCACAGTTTTAACTGCTTACTGTGAAGTCCAAGTGGCCAGAATTGTGAAATGTCCACTGAAACACTGTGAGCGGTGTACTTAACGACAGCAGGCCTTTACATCTCATAATAGATTTTGTAGTGCTCTTCACGAGTGGAAAAACAATTTTTTTCTCTTTTTTTTTTAAACTTTTTTTTAAACTTTTTTAAAAGATTTTTTGTTTTGTTTTTTTGTGTGTGGTTTTTTTGCTTTTTTGTTTTGTTTTTGTTTTTTTTTTTGTTATTTTGTTTTGTTTTGTTTTTTGTAAAGAAGGGTTGTATTTAGAGGCCAGTAGCTAGAGATCCAACCAGTGGACCTCCTAAAGCACTACCAGGCCTTAAGGCCACCATCCAAGGGAGACTGGGAAAAGCATTATTCACCCGAGCCTCCGGAAATGTAATGTACCAGCAGGCAAAAAACAGTTCTTCATGTAGTACAAAATGAAACGGAACAGAAAAACAAAAACAGAAAGTAAAAATGAAACCAAAACATTTCTTAAATTCTAGTGCCATAGCGTTTTGTCTGTTTGTTTCTTTTGTTGTTGTTTTGTTTGGTTCATAAGAAAGAGAGAAAGGTACTACTTATCCGTCAGACACATGCATCCTCATGTGGTCGTTGAACTGCTCTATTTGGTCAAACTTCGCTGGGCAGACGGAGCAGACGTAAGTGGTCCCCTCCGTGCAGGCCACCACGCCTGGTGGGCCTGCGCGGGCGCCCGGGGGCGTGCCTGCGGGAGGGGTCCCGTTGCTGGCGCTGTGCAGGGCCACGTGTCGCTCCAGCAGGGTCTTGTGGGAGAACTTCTTTTTGCAGATGTAGCACTCATAGGACTTCTCCCCGCGGTGCAGGCGCATGTGCACGTTGAGGGAACTCTTCTGGGTGAAGCGCTTGTTGCAGATGCTACACTGGTAGGCTCTCACTCCCGTGTGTGTCACCATGTGCTTGATAAGGTAATCCTTCAAGGAGAAGGAGCGCCAGCAGATGCTGCATTGGTGGGGCTTCTCACCTGTTGATGTGGGAAGAGACAGCAAGCAGAACAGAACAAGACATAGCCAAGTGGGAGAATGAGAGACAGAAAAACAAGAGACAAAAAAAGAAAAGGAAAAAAAAAAGAAAAACAAAAACAAAAAAAAAAATTAAAAAATAAAATAAAATTTGATTGTTTCATGGATCGTCCTTGATTGAAAAGGTCTAGGCCTCCCTGGCTTCTCTTGCTCAGAGCAAGCTTGATTTTAAAATGCCAGGGGAGTCTAGAGTTTTCCATTTCCCTATTACCAAAACTGGCTCTTTTGTAAAGTAACAGCATACAACCACCCAACTCTTCAAAGATCATTTGGAAGAGGAAAAAAAAAAAAGATTCTACGTTGTAAGAGACATTCTTGGTACCATTATTAAAGATTTACATATTCCCAGTTAATAATAGGAAACAAATATAAGAATTAAAAGAAATACCTTTGGAGGGAGGGGTAGTGAAAATATTGGTCATTATAACTTGATTCTTTTTGGAAAATCCCCATTTCCACTATTTGGCCTAGTAAATGTACCCATTATTGACTGTAGGACTGGGCTGACACTTTCAGTTCATCTGTGTCTGGTAAAATCTTCCTGAAATAAAGTCTAAGATGAACTCTTTTGTATTGGCTGCACTGTTCACTGTTTGGCCTCCCTGGCTGTGGAAGCCGAGTAGATGGTGGACAGCCGTTGACCTTTGAGTCCCATGGCCCTCCCTGTTCCAGCATAGGCACCAGCATACTGTACACCAGTATAACAAGTCACCAAGAGCCTCCAAGGTGCACAGTCCTACTTACCTTGTTGTGACGGTGTTGACATGAAATACACATGGAGTCACTTGGTAGACCACCAAGCGCAGCGTGGGAATACTTGCATGGCATTCTTATTACAAGGCAAATCCTCCCCCATTAAATGGTTCCATATGTCCATTGAACTTTTAGGTCATTTTCTAAAATAGTAGTTTTTTCTGTCTATTTTTTTTTTCTTAGCCATCTGGCACAACCCTTCTTTCTTCTGTGTTTGCTGCTCTGTCTACCATTGGCTCCATCACCCAATGTACAGCTAGTTAAAAATAGTAAGATAAGAATAGTCACTGGATGATGACCTAAGGGATCCTTTAAAGCCTGTGGATCTGGAATATCACTTTGGATAATTGCCTTATTTTTGTTAGTAGTACTGTTTTTCAACACTTGCTGCTTTCTGATTTTGATAGATGATAAAAACTCTCTAAAGTGTATGATCCATCTCTTCCACTTCATTACTGATAGCCCAAAGTAGGCACTGGCTTCAGAGTGCCTAAAGTCCCAAGCCTGAGACCCTCTCGGGTATGTTTTAACAGCTGAAGTGTTCAACAAGGCAAGGATCTCCTCCTTAAACTTGAGACAACTCCCATTGAAATAAGGGTCTTGACTGTTCTCATTTTTCCATTCTAAACGAGGCTTATATGTCATGGTAGCACTAGCAATAAATATGCACTGGGTGTTTATTATGCCAGGTTCAGGTGTGAGTGCTTCATACTGAACTTTCATCTGTGGAATTTTCTCTCATAAGATAACCTTCTTGGTATTGCTAGCATAAGGGAGCTTGAATTAATGCACTCTAATGGCAAAGTATGATGTATAGGATCTTAGGGTTAAAAGAGAATGATTTAATTTTTAGATTGAAATAGGAGAATGTGGGGAAGGCCTATTGCCAATAATCCCATTTTGCTAAAGAGCTCAGCCTATGCATAGTGTTTACATATTGGTTAAGTTTTTGTTGACCAGAGATTCCCTTAGAGACAATCATGTATGTTATTTTTAGTTGAGGCATTTCTGTCAGCTGTAAACTTGCTTGCAACTGAGATGGTCTTTGCTATCCTTGAGCTTTCAGTACAATTTCTAGTGGCTATGAGAGGCTGGCCAACTAGCTCTTAAAACATGTTCACCTGTCACCTTTAACGGGAAGCGTACCTTATGCGTACCAAGCTGGTTAGGAAGGTGAAACTCTCTATTAAAATGCTCTTGATGTTTGAAACTCTCCCCTTCTGACTGTGCTTCTCCCCTAGGCAAGGTCACCAATCAAGGCTCTTTACTTTCATACCCTTCTAATCCAACTACAAATTGATTCTTCACAGTTGTCATCTTTCCCTCCACTGCATATATATGTTCGTTGTTTGTATGCATGTAGTATGGTTATGTCAGTAATTATTTGTGTGACCCTGGGCTTTTTAAGTGTCTTCATCTCTCTGGATTTGTTTTGCCTTCTGTGAGTGATAAATTGGACAGAGCACGTGCTTTGGCTCTGTGGCGTTACTGGTCTTCATCTCAGGGTGGTCCATGACCCCTGAGGTCTCTAGTACTGCCCTTGTCAGCAAATGACCTGAGGGCAACTTACCTAATCACTCAATGCTTTGGCAGCCCCACATTTCTAAATAGGACAGAGTACCCGGCTGTGTGCCGTGCTACAGGAAAATGGAGTGCTAGTTAATGAGGGAAGTGTGCGCAAAGCACTGGGGAGCTGCTCAGGGAAAGGTGCTCTCCATAGTTACTGCAGAGCAGAGATGATGCAGCTGAGGTTTTAGGGACTTCCTGTGAGACCTGGCTGTGTTTTCATGTCAGTCACCTTGCCCACACTCGCTCTTCTTACATGGAAGGATTTCAAACAATAACACTCAGCAGCACGAAGGGTCACAAAATGCAAAGCAGCAATGTGAGCCATAATAGGAAGGGTGGTGGGCAAAAGAGCCCCTTCACTTTAAAGGGATCCAGTCTGGGGGAGGAGTCCTACATGAGTTCCATTTCTTGGCTGAGTGTTTTGTACATCTTATCTAAGCTTTCTAAGCCTTGTTTTCCTCATCTATAACTTAGCAATGGTTCAGAAAATGCGTGTGTGTGTGTGAACTTGAATGAAAATTAATGATAAGGCACTTAGTGTGGAATACAGGTCATTTTAAGGAAAGCTAAACTGTTCCATCCAGCCTTCAGGGACTGAGGATAAAGTAAACCAACTGAGAAGGCACTACACTGCATCAACCTAAATTAAACAGAAGCCAAAACAAAACAAAGAAAATTAAGTTTCAGATGATCCCTAAAGCAGGCTATTTTATTGATGCTAGTAATGAAAAGTGAATCATGTTGTCCATCTTAGTTATGCATGCTAGTGAAAGGAGTGGTACCAGGAACGAAACATTCACTCAGAGCACAGGCAGGGTATTTCCTACCAGGCAACAACTGAGCACCGGAGGCTGAAGAGCCAAGCAGCAGGTAAAGAATTAGGGGAGAGCCTATATTGCCTTTCCAAAGATGGAGTGGTGAAAGTTTATATTTTTCTCAGTTTTTCAATGCCTGCTCTTTAACCCCTCAAGGATTGGCTCTCACATTTAGTATTATGACAGACAAGGAGAGTAATAAAGATAGTGATTAGTAAGTGGGTATAGAGGGTTCACATTATGCAATGAAAGCCACCTATCCTAATAGGCCAAGCATCCCATTTCTGTATTGTGATCTTAGTACTAGGGGCTCAGCAAGAACTCACTTATCCTACTGATTGTTTCTTAATCTGGTCAGGTTATTTCCTGGGCTGTAAATATAAATGTAATTTTCAGCTCTATTTTTACCTGTGTCTCTCCATCTTCAGCTGTAGGATAAAGCCTACCCTCTTTGGGTGAGCGTGGTGGGAGAGGTTGGGAGTTCAGAAAACCAAAACAGGATGCTTGGTAAGGTATAAAGCAGCAAGGAAGTCAGAGGAAGAGGAAATAAAGGTGTCTTGGGAAGTATAGGTCCACTGAATAGAGAAAATGAAGACTGGACCAGAAAACAGGAAAAGGCTTGGTCCTAAGAGTGGGAATGTGGCCAAACTCAATAACATGGTGACTTCTTTGGCTGCACAGTTACTCTCTACCCAGAGGGGTCTGGTGGAGAGGGCACGTAGCATTAGGATGTAGATGGTATGACATCCTGCTGGCCTTTCTGCCTAGTCTCTGCTGACTATCTAGGAGGAACTGCCAACTGGCAACATATATGTTAGCAAGTTTCTGTGAATTCTTTGACAACTCAGGTATTTTTGTGGCAAGCAGGATTTTAAATATCCAGGGAACTTTGTCTCCGTTATCTGACTTCTTACAGTGTTATGTGGGGGATGGATGTTAACAATGCAGAAAGCTGTATCTCCTGTTACTTTTATGTTGACACCCTCAAGATCCCAAAAAATGAATAATAGCTGAGAGCCAGGTAAGCTCCCAAACCCTGCCAACTCCCCCTGCCACCATGCATGGTTCCTTGAGCGTGCTGGAAAATGCATGGTGTTTCTGTAATATATATTCCTAAGTGGCTGTGATAATGTTATAACACTTTTACGGTCAGATGCTTTTGTTTCTATTACTTAATCCTCAGAGTAACTGATTATTATGACTCCAAAACTGTGATTCTGGTTCACCCTAGAGCTTAAAGTCACCTAGTCACAAAGTGGTAAAAGTGAAGCTTTCCTCCTCTTCACGGTCTAACTCCTATAGTGGATGGCCACACCACTGTCTTGCAGCTCTCTTAGCACCCTACTGCTAACACTGACGTGCCATAGCTACTCTTTCCACATTGAATTCATGGCCGAACACTGAGCCTCCAAAGAAACGAGCATTATCTTCCATGCTGAGGATATCAATGGGCTGAAAAACATCACCAACGGATGGGCTGTTGATAATATGATTCAGAAAAAAGCCAAAGAACTAGAATTTTTTGGTGAAAAGCCACAAGTGGGAATATAGATACTGCACAATATATTCTAAAGCTATTTTTTTTTAAAGAAAGAAATCTAAAAGTTGTGCAGTGAAAAGAATGCATTTATGTATAAGTTCCTTGAATTAAGTTCTCCTGGAAAGCATGTCCACATTTTTGAACATTCATTTACATACTCACTCAACAAACATTCGCTAAGCAACTGCATATGCTAGCCCATATTCATTTATAGATTTTTTTTTTAAAGTGAAACGCCCTAAGTTTGGATCTTAAAAGAAAGTTCCACCTGGAGTTTCCAGATAAATTATATGACACCTTGTTAAGTTGTTTGCCTTGGTATCCATGGCAACACCAAGGCTTATCCTTCTAACATTCTCCATCTCTGGCTTCTAATCCCTACCACTCCTTTGTTTTGACCTGTTTTGTCACTTGATTAGAGAAGTGAGGAAGAACTCTGCTTTGTCCCATGAAGGACAGCTTGTGCTAGGTTTCTTTTTTCTCTAATTCTTTTGCTTCCATTTTCAATACTGGAATAGAGATGGACTTTCCATATTGCTAGTGCCAAATAACTCTAGAAAATGAAAGGGCAAAGAGTTGGTTTTGAAGAACTAAATGCCTGGCTGGCACATGTACAAGATTGTTTCCAGATGTACCTGTATTATATACAGTTAAGCAGCTTCAGAATTTACCTAGGACCCTAATCATTTACTGCATTGTGCAGACCATACTTGGAGTACAGCTCACTTTACCTATAGACTTTTGCTTCTGTAATATATAGGTAAGCAAAACTACTGCTATTTTTGTCACAGGCAAAGGCACTTCCATGGATTAACTACAGGATTCAACCTTCCTAAGGCCGCCGCCCTTTAATGTAACAGTTCCTCATGCTGTGGTGACCCCCAGCCGTAAAATTATTTCTGTTGCTACTTCATAGCCATAATTTTGCTACTCTTATGGATTGCAATGTAAATCTCTGTGTTTTAAGTGGCCCCTGTGAAAAGATCCCTAGACTAACCAAGTGGGATGATGATCCGCAGGTTGAGAACCACTGTCTTATATGGAGGCATGTCTATTTGTGTCCATTATGGAGCTAAGGAAAGGGCAGACTCATGGGTCTGGAGATCTTTATCTTTGGAGTAGTAGAGTCCAGGCAACCACTATCTTTCCCAAGTCCTCCAAATAGTCCACTCTCTGATTACAGGAGCCCACTTCCTTTGGAGAAGAAAAAAAGCTCAGAGAAGCTTGGGCTCTTCAGCTTTTTCTTTTATTTAGTTGAAAGACTCTCTGTAGAGCTTTCACTGACCAAATTCTAATTTCTTTGGATAGAATAAACTTAATGTCTCCTCCTCCCAGCCATCTTAATAATACTAATAATAGCTACGGCTTCTATAGTACTTACTATGCTAGGGATATCTTTAAGTCATATATGTTAATCAATATAATTTTCAGAAGCAGCACAAGGAAGGTACATCACTACAATTCCCCCACCTCTCTCGCGCCCCCCCCCCCACTCCTGTAGAGAAGGAAGTCAAAGTCTAAGGAATTTAGGTGATTTCTTTCAATGTGGTACAGTTTGATAGCAAGTAGCTGGGCTTGAATTAATTACAGGCCCAAAGTCTGCCTCCAAAGAGCAAGCTTTAAAACTACACTGTGTCACTTCCAAACTCAAGATACTTGAATATGAGACACGAATTCTTCTCTTCTGTAGGCTGTACACTCCCAGGTCATCCCTTTTCCATCAAGGGTTTTTGTGATTTGGTAGCACTTCATTCCTATGATGGGAACAGCTGGACTTCTAGAAGGGGCCTATGATGGGGTTTCTTTGAAATCTGAAAGATGACTCCAGCCCTTCCCTTCTGCCTGTGGCCCTGTTCTGCTGCTCCGACAGCCCTCCAGACCCTGCTGTCAAACCTTCTGAGAAGTGGCACTCACCTGTATGGACGAACATGTGCTTCACGTAGTTCTGTTTGGCTGTGAAAGTCTTGTTGCAGAGAGTGCACTCATAAGGCTTCTTTTCGCCTTGCCCACTGGCTGTGCTGTGGCCTGCGGATGATGCCAGGGGCTGTGGCGCTGGCAGCTGTGCAGTAAAGGTGGACAGGCCAGGCTGGGACACTGTCACAAACTGGGTCTGCTGGCCTGTCAGGGGCTGTGGCAGGCTGAAGAGAAAAGGCTTGGGGCCACTGCCTGCGGGCTGGGTAGTGAAGAGGGCTGGCAGGTAGGTGTTGCCAGCTGTGCCAATGACCTGTGTGTTGCTGGTCAAGGTCAGAGGCATCCTCAGGTTGCTGGTGAGGGTTTCTGTCTGGCGTAAATAGAGCTGGGTACTTGGCAATGGTTGCCCAATGGTTGTGTTGACTGAAGGCTGTTGTAGGACACCCTTATCAGAGCTGCTGCTGACAGTGATGACTGTGTTGTCCATCTCTATCTCGTTGCTTCTCTCGGGAGAGGAGGCACCTGTTTCTAGTTGGGTTGGCTGGGCACTGCCCTCAGGTGGAGCTTCTGCTGCCTGCTCGGGCTGGGCGGGTTCTGCTTGACTGTCCCTTGTGGCTCCTGCCCCAAACTGTTGCTCCACCGAGTCAGGTTCGGTGCCAATGGAGGAGCTGACCCCAGAGTCAAAGCTCTCGCCTTTGGGCTCGCTCTCTGTGCCCTCCGCCTGGTCAGTGTCTTCAGTGCACTCCTCGGATTCATTGCGCTCGAGGATCTGCACCCTCTGCTGCCCGTAGTAGTCATAGTCGTCCTCCATCTCCTGCTTGATGTGGATGTTACCCACCAGGGTCTGGATGCGCACGGGCCGGGGCTGCTTGCGGCAGTGAGTGGTCTCGGGGGTGGTGGACAGGTAGCGTTCCATCTGCTGGGAGCGTTCATGGATGCGTGTGATCCAGCTGGGGTCTTCCATGTGGTGGTCACGGGGCAGGCCAAGCGCAGTTTCGTGGTGGCTGACCACTGCACCGCTGTAGAAGGAGCGCTCGCCGCTGCCATTCTGCATGGAGCAGGCGTAGAGCGCTGAGTAGATTCGGTCCACGCTGTGTTGTGGATGGCTCTGCAGGTAGCCTGATTCTGTGTCACTGCTCTGGCCAGATGTGCCTGACTCTGGTGTGCCTCTTGGTGTGTCCTGGCCAGAATCCTGGATGCCCGGGAACACATCGCCCACATTTTGTGACACGATGCGTGTGCACTCATCTATGACTGTTTTGATCTGCAGGATGCTGGCGGCTGTGAGGATCTGCAGAGCTTCTGACTGTGAGACTCGCAGCACACCGCTGTACATAAAGTCAATGAGCTTTTGCACCGACTGTACAGACACCACCGACGGGATTTCGATGTCACTGTAGCCCAGCAGCAGCTTGTCTTGGAAGAAGGGGCTGCCAGCTGCCAGCACGCAGCGGTGTGCGCGCAGCATGCTCCCGTGGATGCGAACCGTCACGTCACAGAAGTGGCCACGGTTGCGCTGCTCGTTGAGGGTCTCGAGCACGGAATTGCTGAAGTTGTGAAGGTTGATGCTGTGAATGCGCTCGGTCATCCCCTTGCAACTGATGTCACCTGCAGTGCAGTGAGGCAAACACAAGACAAACACATAGTCAGGTATAGCTGATGGCATTTCCACCCCAGGTCTCAGGAGAGTAAAATCTGCCCTCTTTGCAGATACAAACACAGGGGAGAAAGCTGTGCAGGCTTCACACACAGCCTAGGCAACCAATGCCTTGAGTTTCTCCCCACCTCTGGACATAGTGTCCTAACTCTTTTGGATATCACATTCATATTGATCTGCAAGAAAGTCAGGCCATGTTGTCTTCTGAAAGGATAATTAGATGGGCTGTTGCCTGCCACTCCTGTAACTGTTGCATGAAGAACTGAATGGGTGAAGGGGCATAGGAGCTCAGGGGACAGGGCTGATCCCAAGTCCTCTGGGAAATTTTAATTCCCCCTCTTCAAGTTACTGACATTTCTTATTTTATCAGTAGGCAGCAATTGTACTTATAGTTTAAAAATCAACCCCTTTCTAGTTTACATGGCATATTACCATATCCCGTACCAGATTTGCAAAAGTTCTTGGAAAATTCAACCCAGACTAAGATGTTTAACACACAGCTGCCACAGCGCTTTCCAGAGGATGGGAAGGGTGCTGCCTGCAGATGGGCCGGGGCATTTTCCGGCTGCTTCCCTCTCTCCTCACTCTTCTTGCCATCCTTGACAGTGTGGCACTTTCAAGGATGGTCATATGTGATACAAATGATGTTGATGCTTAATGAAGAAGGAAATTTTGTTTGTTTTCCAAGACAGGTTCTCACTGTCACCCAGGCAGTGCTGGAATTCACTCTGTAGACCAGCCTGGCCTTGAACTCAGATCCTCCTGCCTCTGCCTAACCCTGAGTGCTGGAATTAAAGGCATGCTTATGCCACCACACACAGCAAGAAGGAATGTTTCAAAAGGCCAGAGCTGGATGTGCTGAATGTGATCACACGACATGATCACATTTATCATTCAAAATGGGCACTTAGAGTGAAAGAGAATTAGGCCAGGAGAGCAGGGGGAACTGGAGGTGAGTCACAAGCTTATTTTGAGCAACAGGATGTTTTGTAGAACTACTAAATAGTTCCCACAAGGAAGACAATAATCTCTAAAGGCTCCGCGAGTCTGACCAACTGCCACCCCTATGTTTCAGTCTGTCGACACCGGTGATAATGTGGTTACCGCCACTCCACACTGAGAAGACAACAGACGGCTACGGCACAGTCCCAGGGTTTTCCCATCGTTCTACCTCACTGCTCAGATATGTCTCAACAATATCTCTCTACAAGTCATTCTTCAGTCAAAACCACACTTGTAACTTCATAATCTGCAATGTTTTGTTTTGAGGAAATCATGATTTGATTAAAAAGTGCCTAAAAGATTAGTGAGAGACACTTTTGGTTCTGTCTGTGAGGGTATTATCACTGATGATTAGATTATGAGGGGCCTGATTTAATGAATTATTTAAGCCCTTCATAGATTCATAATAAGATGCCGTTTGGAAGAGGTGGTCAAAGGTAAGAGGTAGGGCCTAGTTAGAGAAAGTAATCAGTGGTCATGTGCCCTTTGGGGCTGCATCTTGCCATGGCTTCTTAAATTCTCTCTGCTTCCTGTATATAATGAAGTTGTATGTGTCCATTATTACAATGGGGCCAAGCAAGCATGGGTTGATCCCTCTGAAACCATGAGCGAAGAGAACTGTCTCCTCCCTCTGTGTTAGTTTGTTTTTGTCAACTTGATATAAACCAGAGACACCAAGGAAGAGGAAATCCCAATTGAGAAACAGCCTCCATCAGATTAACCTGCTGTTATGGGGGTTAATTAATTGCTAATTGGTGGAGGAGAGCCTAGCCAGCCCTGGGCAGACAGTCTGGGATAGTTTGAGAAATGAGGCTGAGCAGGAGCTTGGAAGCAAGTTATTCTATTGCTCTGAAGAGACACTATGATCAACACAACTCTTATAAGACAAAGCATTTAATTGGGAGCTTGCTTACAGTTCCAGACTTTAGTCAATTACCATCATGCAGCATACAGGCAGACTTGGTTGAGAAGTAGCTGAGAGTTCTACATCTGGATCAGCAGGCAGCAGGAGATACAGAACTGGGCGTGGGCTTTTGAAACCTCAAAACCCTCCCTTCCCCAATGAGACACTTCCTCCAAGGCCACACCTACTTCAACAAAGCCACAGCTCCTAATCATTCTCACATAGTGCCATTCCCTGACGACTAAGCATTCTTGTGAGCCTATGGGAGCCATTCTTATTCAAAACAACGTGAAAGTGTTCCTGCTGCTTCTGCTTCAGTTCCTCCCTGCGGGGTTCTTTCTTCCTCCTTCCTTCCTTCCTTCCTTCCTTCCTTCCTTCCTTCCTTCCTTCCTTCCTTCCTTCCTCCCTCCCTCCCTCCCTCCCTCCCTTCTTTGCTTTTCTTGTTTTTTTTAGTTGAAAATAATTTTTTCATACAATATATTGAGATGAAATTTCCTTTTTCGATCCCTGCCTTGGACTCTAACCCGTGAATCATTCCTCCCTAAGTTAGTGTGGGACAGATCAAACTAGGACATTCACTCAGGCTTTTTTTTCTGCCATGTATTTGGTCACAGTGATGAGAAGAACTCTAAATACATAACTGAGCTACTAGGTTGAGAGAAGCCAAGTAACTGGGCTTTCAGAACAAAGGGGCCTTCAAAGTACATTTCAAAACAAGGCTGATAACTTCAATTACTAGATCTTGTAGTAAACAACCACAGAGGAACAGGCCTGTGCACACCAGGCATGTCTGACTTCTCAGGTTCTTTCTCTTCTGTGTTAGGATAAAGGACCTCGCACGGTAAGTCTCTGCTCTACCGCATTTTTCTACCTTGCTCCACTTGATCACTCTCACACTGTCTGAGCATAATAAGTGCTCGAAGCCCGTGTATCACATTTAGTGATGCAATTTACATTACATTAGGTGAGTGAACTGAGCGAGCCTGGCTAAATAAGCCTGACCAACTCCATGACAGGCTTCATTTTCTTGCTAGACAGAACAGGCCTAAGAGTTGCAGGAAAAACCACAAAAAAGGGCAACTAATCAGAAACAGCCAAGACATCTGGCCTGAGGAAGAAAAGGTTGCTTAACTACTAGTTTGAAAAACCCATAAGTCCTGACCAGAGTCACGTAACCTCCATGGGCACCAGCCAATACCAATCGAGGTTATGTAGCTCCAGTAGGAATTCCCCTTTCTACCTTTAAAAGGGACCCTCAGCTCCTCTCGTGTTTACTGCCATGTTGTAAAGGTGGTGACCCCCAATATGCTGGACTTCTGCAGACTAAAAGCCTTTTGTTGTTCGCATGCCACTTGAATTTGGGTTTGTTCTTTCAATGTATTCCAGACCCTAACAGAACCTCTTTCAACTTCCACCAGGTTTATTATGTGTCTGAAGTACTGTATTTAGTTATGCCTTCCAACTTTTTTTTTATTATTAAAAAACAGTTCTATTTGCACAACTGAGTGATATGGCTAATCTTTATTACATACGTTAATACAAACTACACCCCTAAATGAAGACTCCAGTAATTAAGGAATGGATGTCCAGGAATTGGGTCAATAGGTCATATATATTTCAACCTCTTACTTAGTTCTATGTTCTATGTATGCTTAAAGGGCAAACTTTTCTTCATGCCTTATCTGTCAAGCACTGTCCAAACTATTCTAAACACATTACTCTATTTAATCCTCAGAGCAACCATGGGGAACAGGTTGTATTATTATTATTCCCATTTGTACACAGGGGAATTAAGACCAGAGAATTTATGCAATGTGCTCAAAGCTGTGCTGGTAACTGGTGGGAGAACTGGTATATGAATCCAGGTGGTGTGGCTGGATTTATCTCTTGAAAATTCCATGACATCACATGCTTTGTCGCTATATGAGAGTTGACATTAGCGGTCCATACAGCTGTTACAACCATCAGCTCTCAAGCTAAAATTTAAAAAGACTGCCTCCAGCCTTCGGAATCTAAGTTAAACACATACATATGCATGTGAGAGTGTGCAATAGATACTGTTTTTTTTTTTTTTTTATTTATGAGAAATAAAACAACTTGTCTTGAAACTAAAATGCATTACTTTCTAAATATGATTTCACTGTCACGGAAGTTTCTCTTTTATTGAAGCAAAGAGTAACAGCACAGTTAATTGGCTGTAAACAGATGGCAGAAAAATCATTTCTAGGCTGGGTGGCTTATTATCACTCTTCTCTTTCTACACAGGTAGAGATATATCTTCAGTGCATATTTGATCATAGTGCCTGCCAGTCATATGGTCTGCACTGCAGAGATCAGATGATACAGTTGGCTTCTTTTAGTGGATTCTAAGCAACAGCTCCTTCACAATCAATATTCAGGTTAATATCCCTGTAGCATTTTTATATAGTAAGAAATTTTCTCCTATGTAAGACCTTGTTTGTTTTTGCAGCAATCCTATATATTTTCAGGACATTATTGTTATTTCCACTTGAGGTAAGACTCGAGTAGCATGCAAGCAATAAAGAGCATTTATTCTGCAGAAGTCCAGTACACTGGGGCCACCTCCTTCACAACATGGCGGTAACCAAGAGCAAGAGGGGAGCCTGAAGGCCCCTCTTAAAGGTAGAAAGGGAAATTCCTACTGTGGCTACATAACCTCATTTGGGATTGGCTGGTGCCTATGGACTCTGGTCAGGACTTACCGGGCTTTTCAAAACTGGTAGTTAAACAACCTTATCTTCCCCAGGCCAGATGTCTTGGCTGTTTATGATTGGTTGCCCTTTTTCTGTGTTTTTTTCCTGTAACTCTTAGGCCTGTTCTGTCTAGCAAGAAAATGAAGCCTGTCATGGAGTTGGTCAGGCTAATTTAGCCAGGCTCTCTTAATGGTTCTATAAATTTCTACCTGATTTGATCAAAATTCCATAGAGCAAGCAAGTAACTTAGCAGAGTTGGGATTAGAACCCATCCTTTTTGGTGCTCTGAGAAATGATACTTTAATTGCCAAGGATCTAGGACCATCCTCAT